TGAGCCAAACGCTTGGCTAGGTACTCACGACTTCCAGCGTCTGGCTACTTCGGTAGTTCTGTGTAGTAGACGTTTTCGTCAACCACCGTTTAGTGATCAGGTGGCTTGACGTCTGGGGGAGAGGGGGCGATGCGAGCTTTAGCAGCTAGGTACTATGAATGTTTTTGTCCGTAACACTGTTTCGCGTCCGAACCGCTCCGGTTGGGAGTGGCCAGACTTTCCGCAGGTGTGGAATGGCCGGCTCCTGCGCTGTGTCGAGAGCGAAACTCATGTCTACTAACCTACCGGGACTCACTCTGCTGTCTGGGATGAGGATCAGCACCTCCAAATCTGAGGCCATGGTCTCAGCAGGAAACCGATGGACTGTCCACTCCAAGTAGGGAATGAGTCCTTACCCCAAGTGAAGGAGTTCAAGTATCTCGGGGTCTTGTTCTCGAGTGACGGAAAAATGGAGCGTGAGATGGGTCGGAGAATCGGAGCAGCGGGAGCGGTACTGCAGTCTCTTTACCGCACCGTTGTGACGAAAAGGGAGCTGAGCCAGAAGGCAAAGCTCTCTGTCTACCGCGCCATTTTCGTTCCTACCCTCACCTATGGTCATGAAGGATGGGTCATGACCGAAAGAACGAGATCGCTGGTACAAGCGGCCGAGATGGGTTTTCTCCGCAGGGTGGCTGGTGTCTCCCTTAGGGATAAGGTGAGAAGTTCGGTCATCAGGGAGGGACTCGGAGTTGAGCCGCTCCTCCTTCGCGTCGAAAGGAGCCAGTTGAGGTGGTTCGGGCACCTAGTTAGGATGCCACCTGGGCGCCTCCCTAGGGAGGTGTTCCAGGCACGTCCAGCTGGGAAGAGACCAAGGGGTAGACCTAGAACCAGATGGAGGGATTATATCTCTTCGCTGGCCTGGGAGCGCCTTGGGATCCCCCAGTCAGAGCTGGTTGATGTGGCCAGGGAAAAGAAAGTTTGGGGCTCTCTGCTGGAACTGCTACCTCCGCGACCCGACCACGGATAAGCGGGAGAAGATGGATGGATGGATGGATGAAAAAAGAAGCAAAAAAAACCCAGATCTAAAATATATATAAAAATATCTTGTCTGGCCTTTAGAGAAGTAAAATCGATATTACAAATGCCTAATACTAACCTATTAGGGCAGGGCAATGACAGGGCAATGACTTCAACCTGAAATAATGGAAGCAAATATTTTCAGCAGTATTTTAATATTTATAATAAGAATGGTGGTGGTGGTAAACTTAAAACCTTTGTTTGCTTCCATTCAACTCCTCCCTAGAAAATACAGCAAAGCTATGTTTTCCATGGCAGCGACACACATGAAGAAACTCGTATAATAGCAACAAAAACAACGTAATGGTGCTCTGCAGCTTCAGAGGGAAAACACAAAGGCTCCAGGAGCTTGTTCGACAGAGTGCACAAGACAGATGGGAAGTGTGTGACCAGAGGGTGCACGACTGCAGAGTCACTGGACTTCAACAGAGTGTGTGTGTTTCAGTGTGTTTTTGCACTTCCCTCAGACATAAGGGATCATGTCAACACATTATTCTCCTTCAGTGCGATGTCAAACAGCCGAGCTCCTTAGGCCAGAGTACAGTGTAACCCCAGCTGTTCTTCCAGGATTTCTGTCCCGCCCCCTCCTGATTTATTTGCTGCAGTTGGGTGCACGAGCCCAGGCCTTTTTGGCGATGGTAGCCGAGTTGTTAGATGCCAGTTTGTTCGATAAATAAACTGGGATTGAAAAGGAAAGTGGGCAGCGAGAGGATTAGATGTGGGAGGGATTCTGGCATCTCTGATTAGAGTGTGTGACAGCGAGAACACACACCGGGCTTTTTGTGTTAGTTGGTGTTTCTTCTGTTTGATGTACACACGGCTCAATGTGGGATTTCACTCGGTAGGACTACATATATATTTTTATTTTTATTATTTTATATTCTTTAACTTTTTTCATGTTCAATGCTATTTTATTTCTATTTCTAAATAGAATGTAATAATTTATCTTATGTACATCGCCTTCGTTTTTTATGCTGCTGCAATTACCTACCTACCTACCTACCTACAGGATATTGGAAGAATATGGTGAAACATTGATCTTATCGGTATGGTGCATTTTCACACTGAAGAAACAACTGGGAATCTTCGAGTTTCACAGTCTAACAACCTCTTAAAGTTCAAAAGTCTCTCCCCTTCCCCAACTGCTCAAAGTGTCTGACAGTCAGCCTGGTAAAAAGGGCCCAAGAGATGGGAAATGCCAGGTCCATCGACATGTAGTCGAGAGAAGAACAAAAAAAAGGGGGGGAAATGAGTGGGAGATGTGCGAGCGCTGCTGTGGGAAACTGCATGAAATGCCTCAGAGAGGAAATCACAGTTAGACCAGTGTAACAGCCAGGCTTGCCATTTAGAAATTGAAAGCGTTGAAGATGAACTAAAAGGTTTTTGTGTCCACATTACCTCGGGTGCTGCTCAAAATGTGGCATCCCGTGTTGAGAAAGACAAACGATGGTTGCTTACATGAAAATGTATTCGCATTGTTCATTTCTATCAAGTATTTGATGTTATAGTAGACACATAATGGCAACATGTGTTAGATATTTTAGTATGGGTACAGTGAGCTACATCATACTATACTTTATTTTCACGTATTTGTATATGCACTTATTTCTGTAAGGGAATCTATACATTAAGATTTCAAAATATATGCATCAAACTATTTGCATTACATGTTTTGGTGTTGATCCAGATTTATACAATCCATGTAGCCTGCATAGTGCACGCTCTTATATCTAAAAAGGTCAAATAACGCCCCCTTGTGGCTGCATCAATGTATTACGTTGGTTTTTGTCAGTAGAAGAATTGCAAGGCAAATGCTGCATCAGTAATATTCTCATCAAGACTCTTTATATACATTTACCTTTGATACTGATGTTGCTTGGCTGAGTGCTAATGGAAGTATATTCCAGATAATGCCAACAACAGCTGGTGAGATGATGACCTCAGACTATGAGCAGGGTGGGTGGAGTAAGAACTATTTTTCCCTGAAGACATGCAGTTGCTATAGGTAACTATGCACTGAGGCCAGAATTGGGGAAATGTTCTATGTGACATGATATGTATTATCTTTTCAATTTACACACGGCATCTATTGCACGTCTGTCCGTCCTGGGAGAGGGATCCCTCCTCTGTTGCTCTCCCTGAGGTTTCTCCCATTTTTCCCTTTAAACTGTGGGTTTTCTCTGGAAGTTTTTCCTTGTACGATGTGAGGGTCTAAGGACAGAGGGTGTCGTATTGTCATACTGATATTCTGTACAAACTGGGAAGTCCACTGAGACAAATGTAACATTTGTGATATTGGGCTATATAAATAAACATTGATTGATTGACATGTGACATGAGAAAATAAATTGCATTGGATGTCAACATGCACAAAAGAGCCCTTATATCCAAACCAACAATAGACTCCCTTGCAATTAAACAATAAACACCACAGCGGGTGCAAAAAGCAATATTTAGCCACAAAAATGAAATAGCAGGACATTCAACAGTATATAAAAATGTAGCTAATTCAACAAATCAGACTTGTGATACTGAATCTTATATATTTTTTATTTCTATTTTTTTAAAGGGCAAGAAAAAAATGATTTGCATTCCTTTGTGAAATTCACAAGACATAAAAACCCTTTACCAGCAGCCATTACAAGTTTTTAATACAATCATTTGTTAATAATACACCTATTATCAAATATATCACTCTGAAATTAGGCATTATGCATGAATGCTTTTATTTGTTGTACTTGGTCATATGTTGATGTTAATTACCTCTCTTCTCTTGCTTAATTAAGATTTTGAAAGCTGCACTTGTAACAGAGTATGTCTATAGTGTGGTATTACTACTTGTACTTAAGTAATGGAGTAAAAGAGAGTACTTTTTCGACCACTATATAAAACAATTGACGTTTACTCACATCTCTGACGTCATCTTGTTCAGTCTTTTCCCCGCGAAATCCTCCACATCTGCTCCATGTCCAGCATCTCTGCTCGCTCATTTGTCCTTACAAATTTCAGCTGAAAAAGTCTCTTCACTCAGTCTCAGAAGAAGAAAGTCAGAAGTCACTCAAACAGAAGAAAGTCCCCGCATACCGCACTGTAGGTAGAATAAAACGCTTAACCACTCTGAAATGTTAGTTTATATCCATTTTAGCCTTTAGCTTCTGGACATTTATTTATGAGGTATCCAGACCCAGAATGCACCTCGTAGGTGAAAGTGTGTTTGATTTGTGTCACCTAGGTGCTCGATAGGTGGTGAAATAAAGCAATGGTTATTTCACATGGTTATTTTCTCAGACTCATACAGAAACGCGTAAAGAGATTTATTTTTAACTGCATCGTTTCATATGTATGTACTGTTCACTAACGTCTAGCCCTAGCCCCGCCCTGTGTTGCTGGGATACACCGGGCCAGCAAACAAACATTGAACACACCTCATCTCTGACATGGAGCGCTGCTGCCCCCCTGTGGTCACAGGCAGCAAACACACCTGCAGCTTCTTCACTGCTGCAGCTGTGGATAGATATTATTCACTTTTATCAGAATTATTTGAATTTTTGTACTGTGTTATAAAAATGTTGTTCTTTATTTATTAACAAAACAATGTTTTTTTAAATGTTTTAATTAATTTAACATTACTTGATTCATATGAAGTGTAATTTCATAGGAATCAAGTAATGTTTTTTTATATATTTTTTTTTATATAATAAGCCTTACAAATTCATTCAATTGTATTTGGTATTGGCTTTTTGACAGTAACACTTTCAGCCAATCACACACCCCCTGCAGCTTCATTCAGAGAGGAAGAGAGCGTGTGATCGGCTTACAGCTGAGAGGACA